CACACACACACACACACACACACACACACACACACACACACACACACACACACACACACACACACTCACACACAATCAGTTTTATGTCTGTCTTTTTCCGTCTTGTTGTCTGTCTTCCCTCTGAAAATTTTGTATTTTTACTTGCCCAACTGAGCACCCTTAAGTAGTGCCAAACAGTCAGTGGTTCCGCGTTTGGAGTGCCTACTGCACTCTTAGGGGGGCTACTCAGTTCGGGATGTTTGTGTTGCCTGTGGGTGATGACGGATGCTAGTCGGAGTGACTCCCTGGCTCAAGGGGTGGTGGGAACCAATAGTCTGCGGTGTTCAATCACGATGTGAGTTGGTGATGTGCCGTTTTGCTCTGTGTTGGATGTGTGGACTGCCTTGTCTTCGCTCTGCCGCTGCCTTGCTGCCTCCCCCGCTTTCTTCACATGTGGTTCTCTGCAAATTGCTGTGTTCGCTGTGTGGTGTGGTTGTGTTGCTGGTGTTGCCTTGCGCTTGGCTGCTCCGCTGCCTGGCTGCTCATCCGCTGGTCGTGCCTTTCATGTTTTTTGCATGCGCGCCTTGTAGTCCGCTTGCTTTGTCGATGTTGCCTTGTGCTCCACTGCATGGTTGATGTGCTGCGCGACCGCTAGCCTTGTCGTTCCCTGCCGTGTGGTTGCCCTGTTGGTGTTGCCTTGTACTTCACTGGGTGGTTGGCGCACTGCTTGTCCTGCGTGCCGTGCCGTTCCTTGTAGTGGTTTTTGGTGTTGTGCAGCCGTGTTGCCTCTACGGCGTTGCCTAGTGCTCCGCAGGGTTGTTGCCCACTGCTGTCTTCCGTTTGGGGGACAGTCTGCCTTCAACATGGGTCAAAAGGTTCATGGCCCAAACCATCCAATGCAAAGACTCCGCAGATTGTCGAGGGTTCAGCCTCCTGATGAGTCGGTGCAACTCCGACGAAACAGTCTGTCATCATCAGTTTTTAATTTTTTAATTTTTTTGCTCTCTTCTTATTCAACCTGGCACTCTATGCCTCTTCCCTTGTTGCCTTGTGCTGCTTGTCTGCCCACCCGCCTCCCCCATGTCGTCCACCCTTCGTGCAATTGGTCGTTGTCTACTGCCTCGTTGCTTGTTGTCATTAGCTTCGTGTCTTGCCTTTGTGGCCTTTGTATGACATTCCATGGGTATCTGCAACGGACGCAGGAGAACACCTCGTGCTGGTTACTATGCCAATGATGGTGGTGGCTTTGTCATCAATGCTACCCCTTCTCCCCCCTTCTCTTCCCTTCTTCACTATCCATCTCACGTGGTCTTTCGTCGAGGAACCTGCTATATTCCTTTGGTCTTGTCTGTAGGGATTGTTGGTTTGTGGCATTAGTCAATCCTATGGATGGATAGTGCAGTGCAAACAGCATGTGAATGGATCTATGTGGAGGTTCCCGTGTTTTCGGGTTGCTATGGTTGCTGATGCATTTCTCTCTCTCTCTCTCTCTCTCTCTCTCTCTCACACACACACACACACACACACAGAGAGAGAGAGAGAGAGAGAGAGAGAGAGAGAGAGAGAGAGAGAGAGAGAGAGGGAGAGAGGGAGGGAGGGAGGGAGGGAGGGAGTTTGCAAAGGGATGTGCCAACTTCATGCTATGACTTTGTGATGTAACTTCAGTCTCAGTGCTCATCTTGTCTCCACTCTTTTGTTATCTATTTGAAACAAAGCGTGAGAAGGGAAATGGGCAAGGGAGAAAGGAAGCAAGCAGTAGCAGACTCACAAAAGGATTGACAAGGGTAAGCAGGTGCTATGTATGTCAGTGGGGTCTGATCCCAAAACATGGAAGGGTTCTCCTCTTTTTTTCCTACTCAGGTACTCAGGCGAGCATGCAATCGGAATTTCTGACAGTAAGGAAACTCAGGCAGGGAAGGGAGGGAAGGTAGGAAAGGGGATTTGAGGTAGGGAAGGTAGGGAAGGGGATTTGTGGTTCCTTTTTTTAGTGGCGACTGTTTTGACTGAGAGAAATTTTAGTCGGTAACTCTTTTTTGATCCTGCAGGAGGAGGAGAGAAATTTTAGTACCATTCTTTTTTTATCCTGCAGGAGGAGGAGATGCTATTTTATTTCAACATCTTTTTTGGTTCCTTGGTTGGGATGGCCACCTTAGAGAAGTGATTGCTAAAGAAAAATCGTTGCCATCTGCTGGAAGGGAAGGGAGGGAAGGGAGGGAAGGGAGGGAAGGAAGGGAAGGGAGGGAAGGAAGGGAAGGGAGGGAAGGAAGGGAGGGAAGGAAGGGAGGGAGGGAGGGAGGGAGGGAAGGGACATCTTGAATCAGCATGAGTTACATCAAGCAACCTTAATATGTGATGCTACTGCTGAATGTAGACCCTGGGCAACAATACTCTTGTTGTTTTATGTCTTCTTTCTCTGCGTACGAGATAGTGATGTTGAACCAAGACAAAGGGTTTACCACCTTCTTTTGTTCAGAGCATCTGATTGGACTGGATTTGAACATCATGGGTGTACCAAATGACCTAGGGATGTTGGTTATCTCTTTCCTTTGACCAATACGATATATGAGACACTGGACCCAGTTTGCAGTACCTGTGCCCCCCCCCCCCCCAAATAGAATGGAGCTACTGTACGAAGAAACGAAAAACATAAAAAGCAATGGGAGGGTATGTAGGGGTCCCATTGGGGAGAGCACAGTGGTGGACATTTATCGAATGGTTTGCAGCAGGTGCGCCCTCACCTCCCCCCCCCCCCCCCCCCCAAAAAAAACAGAACGGAGCTACTGTCCGAAGAAACGAAAAACATAAAAAGCAATTGGAGGGTACGTAGTGGGCCCATCGGGGAGAGCACAGTGTTGGAGTTCGTCCATTTATCGAATGTTATCCAATCGGTTGGGTTTCTCATTCATACCCAAACCCAGCCGGTAGCACAGTAGCCCAGTCACTCGTTTGCCAGCCGACACTCTTTCATTTGCGTGTATGATGGTTATGGTGGGACGTTGGACCCTGGTGCAAAGCCCTACTCACCCCGATTGATAGTTTCTGAATGTGGATTTTTTTTAATCAATGGCCAGGAACAAGGAAGATGGGTGGAGGGGACCTTGACCCCCAGTGGCTGACTGTGTGTTGCCGTGGGCTGGAGCCATTATATTTGTGCTGGTGTCCAGTTGTGGAGAGTCTCTTTGGACTGATCTAAAATTGGAGGAGCACATCATAATGATGAGAAAAAAAAAGGAGAAAGAAAGGGAAAAGTCCAGCATAGCAGGAATTCTGACAAGGTACTGTTGGTCCGTAGATGTATGCATTCTCTCTCTCTCTCTCTCTCTCTCTCTCTCTCTCTCTCCTGTCTCTTATACACATCTAGATGTGTATAAGAGACAGTGCTTACACTGTCTCTGATGCATGTGCTTATGTG